TATTATTACAAAAAAAGATGGAAATTAATTTAGTTTGTGCGGGAAATTCAAATTTTCAATGCAGCCAACGTAATTTAATTGAATGTTCCCAATAGGGAATTTTATTTTTTTACCATTGGCAACATCGACCGCATTCCTTGCATATGGTCAATTAATTATTGTTGATTGTGTCTTTTTTGTAATTAAGGTTAATTCACATAAAATGTCCAGATTTCTTTTTAAAAGAATCTGGTAACCCTACCGACATAAGTTCACAACTAATTATCAAAACAAATTGGACCTCAAGAGAAAAGGTTAAAATAACATTCTGAAAAAATATAAAACAAAATTATTTGACGGTTAAGTCTAAATATTCTTGATTTTTAACCAAATTTTAAATCAATCAAAGGATTTATAGTCCAGGGAACAAAGGTTGTAGAAGGAAAACTCGATGGTAGTCGGGTTTTATTTTTTTTTATGTAGAGTCAGGGGTGCTGATAATGAATCAAGAATATTCCCCAAAAATTTCTTTCCGCGTCCCCTAATTTCATCCCCCGAAAGGGGAGTTTTTTTGCTTTTTGGGTCATACTTTTGATTATGTACCAAAAGTTACTGCTTTTCAATGTACAGGGGTTCTTTTTTCAAAAAACCCATTTTTTATTTCCCAAACGGCTTTAATGAGCCAGTTCGTTCTACCCTAGATTTTTAGATACACTTATCCTCGTAACAAATCCGTAGTTTTTTTTTAAATTATTGTTATTGCAAGTGCCCCACAAAAATTTTGAAAAAAGAACCCCCTGTACATTGAAAACAGTCTAATACCTCAAAAAATCGTCCATTCGGTTATGTTTGATTACCGTAAGGTTTGGGATCGATTACTTTTAAAATTGGGCTATAATAAAAAAAACAAAAAAGTTATTTTGAAAGCAACGCTCAACTTTGCACACTGCGCATAGCAAAAGGGCACATCATATATGTGCGCAATGGGGTTTAACGTGTGCCTTATTTAATACATAATCAAAAGTATTAGAGGTCAAATTCTGAAAAAATGGACGGTTAGCGAGTTAAGACCCAAAAAGCAAAAAAACTCCCCGTTCGGGGGTTGAAATTAGGGGACGCAGAAAGAAATTTTTGGGGAATATTCTTGATTCATTATCAGCACCCCTGACTCTACATAAAAAAAGTAAAACCCGACTACCATCGAGTTTTCCTTCTACAATCTTTGTTTCCTGGACCATTAGAGAATCATCCGCTTTATTCTGGGAATATTCATTAGGAATATTCCTAGAATTCCAAGCACCTTCTAAGAACATTCCCAGTGAATATTCACTGGGAATATTTCATAGAATGATCCTCTACAACTTCCAAGCAACATCTTGAAACATTCTCAGTGAATGTTCTTTATATTCAAAAAACAATAACTATAGTTATTATAATTATAATTTTCTCTTTCTACAAATTGGTTATATTCCAGGAATATGCGCTATCATCTAGGAATATTCCGCTTCATTCTAGGAATATTCATTGGGAATAATCCATAGAATGATCTTCCAAAACTTCCAAACACCATCTAAGAACATTCCCAGTGAATATTCATAAGTTTATTGCAATACCTCTCACCGTTGCTTACGAACGCTTGATAACTATTTATACCGCACATGTGCGTCTGTGATGGCACAGCTAAACAATGATTAGAGTGGGACTGATCTACTCAGTAACTAATAATGGCTACTTAAGTTAAGTTCCTGGGTATAGTGGCCATAAGGGCTAGAAGTAAGCCCCAAATTATAATAAGTTACATTATGTTTTTGTGATGACTGGGTTAACCAAAAAGCGGACTTTTGATTAAGCCAGGAATATTCCTGGGAATATTCTGAAACGCTTGGAATAATCCTGGGTATATACCTGACATATGCAGGGAATGGGATTTTGCGGTCTGGGAAACTCCAAATGTTCTTTTTTGCCCCAGAATCTGGGAATTCTTCAAAGTCTTCAGGATACCGGTAAAGGCCTTTAGTAAGTAATCTTAAACTGTTTAGGGTTGTTGCCAAATTAACAAAAAATCCTGAATCTGAATATTTAAAATGTCTTCATCTTGCACTGTGTTGCCAAGTTTTTGAAAATTCCCAGTACTTGGGGAATTTTAAAAAATCTTCAGCATACTTTTAGTGAATTATCTATACTATATATTTAGTGGTGTTAAATTCAACGTAATTTTTTGCATAATAGAATGAATAAATTTTGATTTAAATTTGAATTGATAAGGTTCAGCCTTCTTAGAAACACGGGAGAAAGCGATAACGATAAACGTAAATAATTATTATTCGTATTTTTTATTTTATCTTCTTAAGTACGCGAAGCATTTTAAGTCTGTCGACCTGATCAGGTCCGCGACTGGATTTATTTGTGAATATTATCGAACATTGTCTGGTTTCGGTAGTAGGAATCCTTGTATACCTACTTAATTGATAGGGCAAATGTCAAACAAATCCCGTGTGAATGCTTCCTACACTTTATTTGGCTTTTTTACGAATAAAAATCAATAATACAAATTAAATTTAATTACCTAGGCTTAATTGTAATAATATGGCTTTATGCATAAACAATGACAATACCTGTATTCAGTTATATGTTATAGGCGTAAAGCAATAGAAATTCTAATTTGCTTTAACACATTAAGGCAAATTAAATGCAAGACAATCAATTTTGCAGGATATTCGCATTTTTATTTCAAACTTACGGAGAAATAACGGTTTTGTTTGAACGTAAAACTGGGAATGCGTTGTTCGGAAATTTAGACTCCAAATAGAATTTAAACAATTTTTTTGCTTTCAATAATTTTTGTTCATTCAGCGAATCGATTAAGATAAAATAATTATGTTTCCAAAAAATATGATTATTTAATTTTATAACATTGTTATCAATGATTTTTTAGGATTAAAATAAATATACAGGTAAAGTAATTTTTAATTTATTTATTGTGTCTTGTTTTTGAAATAATTTAAATGTAACAAAAAATTATACAAAGGTTATTTAAGAGTTGTCAAATTATATAAGAGTTTAACAAGGTTTTATAAAATCCCCATTTAGTTTACTAGTTTTATAATGGTCATATAAGGTTACTGTAAACTCTAGGTATATAATTAGGTTATATAATTGTTTCTACAAAAATTTTAAATAACCTTTAGTAACCGTTACCAGTAGGTTTATAAAGAAGTTTTATAAAGTTTTCGGTTACCTGTTTTATAAAACTATTGTGTCTTTAATTAAAAAAAAAATGTGCTTAATAAACCAAAAATGTTTAGTAATTAAAACAGAAATTTAGCACAGTATTAGCTTTTGACGCAATGCTTTTTCATAATTTTAATTAAAGATTGGTTGTAAAGAAAATATTTAGCATAGAATATATAAGTAATATATTAATAACATAAATACTTTTTTCTACTCCCACCTCTAAAACGCCCTTTATCGTACATGTTTCCATGACACTAAGTGACCTTTTAAATACACATTGACAAGTTGTGGCTTTACGGCGCTTTAGTCACGGGCTGAAGTTAGCAACAGGTTTTTAGTCACGGGCTGAAATTAGTTTTAAGTTAGTTGACAGTTGTCAAATGTCATACAATCGTTAAAATAAACTGCCTTTCTTGTAAAATAATACTAAATGTGAAAATTATTTTATTATCTCAATACAAAAATATTAAATAGTTTCACAACGCCAATATTTGAAAAGTTTATATGAACATTGTACTGACCTTTTAATTTCGCCGGCAGTAAACTATAACTTAAATTTGGGCACGGACTCTATTGTAAAGTGTACTTTTACTGTAAAAAACTGTCCATTTTCAAGAAATACATTTCGATTTATAACCTTTATAATCTGTGCTTATTAAATACAAAAATTTGACATTTGACGGTGACAGACAGATTCCCCTATTGTTTCATAGATGGCGCTCTATACAAATTTTTGATTTAAATCATTTTAAGATAATAATAAGTATTTGTCGTAGAAAAAGTATGGTATGCACCTCGTTTATAAACTTTTCTATACACTCATTAATTTAAGCACTCGCTCGCAAGCTCGCTCGTGCCTAAATTAAATTCCTGTATAAAAGGCGTTTATCAAACTTGATACATAATATACTATTATCTTCTCCTGTAAAAATTCGTAGTTTAAAGTAAAACAAAATAAAAAAAACTTTGGAATCTTCAATTAAATTTTCAAGGGCATCAAATCAAAGATCATTGATTTACTTAAATAATTCATTAATCAATTAATTACTTAAATAAACGATTTTTTTTATTAATTTTGTGGCTATTTAGTAGTAATAAAGTTTAAATTTAGAACACTCAAGTGTAAGATAAAATCATTTATCAACAAAAATACCTGTTCAAACCGACAATAATGTTGTTTTTTGTTAGATGAGATTATAATCTATATTATAATTATAAGTGTTTGCATTTTTGTCTGAAAATGCATGACTTTTAATAATATTTACATTTAATGTATAAATGTTACACAAATGTGCAAATGATACATACAATGTGTAATAACTCTAAATACACTTAAGTGTAGTGTAATTTCTTTAAATATTACATATATGGGGTAATTAATTTAATAATTACACACCTTATGTCATTATTACATTTAAAGATAATACAATCTTTTTTAAAATCTTATCACCTATTTTCTATAATAATTATTATACAATCTTAAGTATAAAGGTATTGTACTATCTTAATTATAGATGTAATCGATGTAATTGTTATGACTAAACAAAAATAAAGGAATAATTTTGCTTATATTTTAATTAATTATTCCTATTAGCAAAAAGAAATTTATAATTGAACCAGATAGGTACCTACATAAGATAAGAATGATGCCAAATGATCTAAATGTGTTTTGTGACGTAACGCTCGAACCAGAACCACCCCCTTCGTCACAAATTGTTGTTGTTTTTGGTGGGCCCCCGTAGAGGAACGAACATTTTTCGTAGTAAAGTCGGCAAAAGTAAGATAAGCGAGGATACAGCTCGGCGCGCAAGCTATAAGTATTCAATTTATACCCTCTACTCACGTGTAACAACATACAGTAGTTCAAATCATTTCTACGTGATCTTCCAATAGGTGGTTTTAGTGCATCTTGACAAATTTTTAAATACTAACATTTCTCCCCGAATGACATTCGAATGAATTGTAAGTTAAACACGTACATTAATTTATTAATATTTTATTGGCATTGTAAATCATGAATCGTGCAATTTTTATATAATTTGATTTCTTATCGCGAAATTAAATCACGATAATGTTCCGTTTTTTACATTTAAAAAACATTTTTTTCCCATTTCATTAGCTGTTAGTTTGAGGAATATTTCTTATTACTAATAAATATTAGGTGAGCATAACACATTTTTTTATATATGCATTCAGCGGTGACTGTGTTAGGTTAGGTAAAGTTTTGTCCAGGTAAATTTTATATACAGGGTGTCTCATTCAAAAAATAAAATGGAGGCGATGGCCCTTAACCCCCCTGGTAATATGTCAATATATAAATACATCTTTGGATGAAATTCAAACACATATAAGTATATGTAAGTATATTAATTTCAAATTCTTAAGTTATGAATACAAAATAAAAGGGAAAGTCTACAATATTCTTAGTGCCAAGCTACAGTAAGTCAAATTAAAATATACCAATAAGTTTGTTGTTAGAACACAATAAATAATTAATAATAAAACAGGATGAAGTAGATAAAAACAATAATTATTTTAACTATAATCCTTGATGAATAAAAATAATTTCATAACTAGTATTGCACATAATGTTATAATATAACCTACTATTGTAGGTAATTTCATTGTTATACTACTTCCTCTTTAATTTTTTTAGCAATATAGTGTTATTATTAAAAAAAGGCATTTCAGTAGGTAGTGTATTTAGATTTTAATTGCGAGTCAGTTAGACAAAGGTCAATTATCTTTCCGATCGTGTAAAAAAAAGCCTTGAACTCAACTTTTTGGCAGTTGATTTTTTCTCACACGCATGTTGGACAATGCAAATAAATCATCGGTTGATTTTTTTAATTGTGTATAACTTAAATTATTTGTTTACAGTTTAAAAACAATTTTTTTAGAAAAAGTGCCCGGTTCATCAAATCATTTGCGGCATAATCATTACATCACGAATTTTATTCGTTGAAAAAAAAAATTAAAATTATATAAAATTTAAAAAAATCAATAGTAGTGAAATTTCTCCTTTTCACGACCAATGACCATTAATTACATCCCAGTATGGTGAAATATAGCAGAAGCCATATTATATGTACCGTAATCTGTAATCGCCAACATAATTACGTATAATTACGAATTGAATGCTGTAATATGGTACCAATTTAACTCAGAAAATACACTTAGGGCCAAAAAAAATTTAAGACCAATATATTATAGCCTAAAACAATGAATTACCATACATTTTAAAATGATTCTAGAATATTTTTCCCACAATCATTTTTACTTTGTAATTTTATTTTTTTTGTTTAAAAAATTCAATACTTTTGTTGTATGTTACTGTTTCTGTTACTTTTACAATAGTAGGTACCAACCAATGCTTCTTAAGGTTAAAATTCAAGATTGTCAAATTAATTAAAAAATATCAACATGAAATTTTTAATTTTTTACTGAAAGCACCCTTAAGCAATAAAATGTATGGAACGCCGTTGTATTTTTTAATCAGGAATTTTTGTTGCAACTCCAACTGCTAGTCATATTTTTAATTGTATCGATTATTTTAAACAATATTTATAACTCAACTAATTTTATACTCAAAAACAATGTGAAATTAAAAATATCAAAGTGTCACTAAAATTAAAGTCAATTTTTAATTAAAAGTGATATTTGTAATTCACAGGAATTATCGATATCAAAGTGACCAGAAAATTCAAGTTAATTTTTAATTCAAACTGATATTCATAATTCGCATGAATTATAAATATCAACTTGAATTTTTAATTCAACTTATTTTCAAGTAAAAAATTAGTAAGAATTATTTGATATTTTCTCAGTTAAATATTTTTCCGGCACTGTTTGTTTATATAATACCGTTTTTATTAATAATAGGCATAATAATTAATATTAATTAAATTACCTAATATTTTAAATATTTACACAGGTATTCTCATAAATCGTTAAGTAGGTCAACTGAGTCAGTTGAACTACTACAAATTTGGCAATGCGAGAATTTCCCGCCGGGAAACCTAACCTTCTTTATCTCTCTAGATTAATCTATCTAGGTTTATCTCTGCCGGGAACAAAGCTAAAATTGTTGGTATATTTACTACATAGGTAAGTATTAATAAAAACGTTATTATATAAACAAATAGTGCCGCAAAATAATTGAACTGAGATTAAGGCAAATATACCTACTGTAGTAGATAAATTGAACCGTCAACATTACAAGGGGTGTCCAAACTGTGGGAATTAAAAATATGTCTTTCATTTAAAAATATCAAATAATTCTTAGTTTTCCTTTAATATTTTAATTCTACATCATTTTTTACTTGAAAATAAGTTGAATTAAAAATTCAAGTTGATATTTATAATTCATGCGAATTATGAATATCAGTTTGAATTAAAAATTAACTTGAATTTTCTGGTCACTTTGATATCGATAATTCCTGTGAATTACAAATATCACTTTGAATTAAAAATTTACTTTAATTTAAGGGTCACTTTGATATTTTTAATTCCACATTATTTTTGAGTTTAAAATTATTTGAATTATAAATATTGTTTAAAACAGTTGACACAATTAATTGTAATTACAAATATGACTATTAGTTGAAGTTACAACAAAAATTCCTGATTAAAAAATATTTTGGCGTTAACGGAACGCCAAACTACTTTTTAATACCTATAATTTTAGATATCTGAAATTAATTTCAGATATCAAAAGTGATATTAGAAATTCCTGATTAAAAAATACAACGGCGTTCCATAAAAATGTGTAACGTCTTAATCAAAGTTAAAAAAATATAAAATCTTCCAATTTAAATATTTTATATAAAAGGGCAATTTCTTTGGCATAAAACTGTGGTCCGTCGTAAATTTTGGAAATCAACGATGCTATAAAAAGCTAATACAGATATCAGTCGTAAAAAGTTAACCGAAATAAAAAAGTTATAAAACGGAAATGTTTCGATTAAATTAATGCATGCTTTGCTCAAGCGCATTGAGATGATATATATTGGGGTGATTCAAAATAATCGAATATTTCATTATTAATTAGTCAAATATTTATGCATATTTTTGTAGAAAATTGAATGCTCTACTATGTGTTTAAGCGATTATTCTAACCATTCAAAAGATATTTAAGATTTTATAAAAAAATATTTTGTAACTCATTGAAAAATAATTGTTGTCAAATGAGTGTGACATATTTTTGTAGAAAATTTAACGCTCTACAAAAAAGGTCTTATGTTTTTAATTGATTACTCTAACCGTTGGGAAGATATTCGTATCAGTACGCATTGATATTCGGATACGAATATCTTCTCAACGGTTAGAGTAATCAATTAAAAACATCGGATCTTTTTTGTAGAGCGTTAAATTTCCTACAAAAATATGTCATACTCATTTGACAATAATTATTTTCCAATGAGTTACACAATTATTAAACAAAAATAATACATTAAGAGCGTTAAATTTTCTAAAATAATATGTCATACTCATTTGATAATAATTATTTTTCAATGAGTAACAAATTAAATAAAAAAAATTTATAAAACTTTGATTTTGAATATCTTTTAAATGGTTAGAGTAATCGCTTAAACACATTAGTCCTTTTTTGTAGAGCATTTAATTTCATGTGGTGTGTTAAAAAATAAAAATTCAATTTTTTTGAATCACCCTAATATATAGATTTAAAACTCTTTAACAACATTTACCTGGGTATGTAAGCATAAATGATTCTATTTAGAAATCTATTATGCTGTCGTTTGGCCGTTTGTCACCTTGTAGGGTTACTTTCACTAAAATTTTATTAATTGAAGTTTCTAAACAATTTAGTCATTCCAAATAAGAAATAATGTTGTAGGTATTTAACAACCCTGTTTGGGTTGTGAGAAAACAACTGTTTAAACAAGTTATGTTAAGTAATTAATTAATGATTTGAAAACATATCATAATTTAGTAAAGAGGCCACTTTTAGGTTTTTTGTTGCATTCATGTGATAGAAGTCAAATCAGGTTTGAAACATGTTGGTACATAAAGAAATTAATAAAATGTTGTTGCATATGCATATGCAATAGTTGTTGGTTAAGTCTTGAATATCCAATGGATTTTATAACTTTCAATTAGTTATATAATCCTTAGTAAGTTAACAAATGTAGGACATTCAGCATTAAGGAAAGATAATGTAGTTGTTTATTCTCACATGTGAATTTTCCTCAAGATACACGCTATATTTTAGGTAACTGTTAAAATAATTTCTTTCAAAATGATTCCTTTTTTTTACAGCTATCAAGAAGTCTACTTAGATACAACGAAAGCTCATAAAATGCTAGGTCCGTCATGGAGAAGTAAATTATCTTGGCAAGTATTTTCTTTGGAACATGATGACCCAAAAATTTTTACCGTGTCGCAAGTAAGTGCTTATTGTTTACTTTTCATAGTATTTTTTATTACTCTAATATTTAAATATTTTTAAATGTCGGCTTGATATTCCAGTAGGTACCTAAATAATTTTTTTGTAACTGATGTAACAGTGTTTTATCATAGTTATGTTTTATTATAATAATATAATATAATAATTATGTAACTGTAATGTAACAGCGCCACATCATAGTTTTATAAACGTGATAAAAAAATTATATTCCATTTACATAAATGTTGCATTCTATTTAGGTACTTATTATTTATGCAATATTTACATATTATTTATGAAATGTTTATTTATTATTTATGCAATGTTTACTTAATATTACTTTACTTAATATATTTATTAATTATGTGTATATATAAAATAAAAAATATATTAAAAATTCTTGGTATTGTGTTGATTTATTTTTTCAAGAAAATTGCACAAATTTTACTACTGTCGTATCCGACATTAGTATTAAGTTGTTGCTAAAAAATATTCAAATATTTATATAAATGTAGTGCAGTGGCATTTATTTTTTAGTTAAAACTTAATACCATGACAATAGTAAAATTTGAGATATTTTTTTTAAAAAATCAACAAAATTGCCGTAATACCAAATTAATTAGAACTAAAATTTTCAATGCCAGAGAGATGAAATATTACATAAATTATAAAAAAATAATACCTAAATAACACTATGCAACATTTTCGGAAAAAAATTAAGAGAATGGGGTTCTGAAAGTATTTTCGGGTTCTGCAATCAAAATCATGAATTATAGCGTTTACAGAATGTTTAGATTGATTCTGTTTTTTTTTAATATCAATTTAAAGTTTTAGTAATTCTGGATCCCAAAATATCGTAAAATAATAAATAATTAGTACATAATAGTATATTATGTATCAAGTTTGATAAACGCCATTTTATACACGAATTTAATTTAGGAACGAGCGAGCTTGCGAGCGAGTGCTTAAGTTAATGAGTGTATAGAAAAGTTTATAAACGAGGTGCATACTATACTTTTTCTACGACAAATACTTATTATTATCTTAAAATGATTTAAATCAAAAATTTGTATAGAGCGCCATCTATGAAACAACAGGGGAAACTGTCAAATATCACATTTTTACATTTTATAAACACAATTATAAAGGTTATAAATCGAAATGTATCTTGAAAATTAACAGTTTTTCACAGTGAAAGTAAAGGAAATGTTTTATGAGGACTTTACAGTCCGTGCCCGAATTTAAGTTATAGTTTACTGCCGGCGAAATTAAAAGGTCAGTACAATGTTCATATAAACTTTTTAAATATTGGCGTTGAGAAACTATTTAATAGTTTTGTATTTTTGTACTGAGATAATAAAATAATTTTTAAAATTAGTATTATTTTACAAGAAAGGCACTTTATTTTAACGATTGTATGACATTTGACAACTGTCAACTAACTTAAAACTAACTTCAGCCCGTGACTAAAAACCTGTTGCCAACTTTAGCCCGTGACTAAAGCGCCGTAAAGCCACAACTTGTCAATGTGTATTTAAAAGGTCCCTTAGTATCATGGAAACATGTACGATAAAGGGCGTTTTAAAGGTGGGAGTAGAAAAAAGATAATTATTGGTTTTGTATATTGTTTTATAACGTAATAACAATCAAATAAATAAAAAAATAATGAGAATAATAAAATGCAATTTTTTTTTAAAATTGAACCTTTTTCTGGATTTAATATGTTGAAGTGCAATTTCTTAGTTCTTTCGCTTCTACCATAATAATAATTATAGTAATTATTATTATTATTATTATTATATTAATTATTAAAAACATATTCTTTTTAAAAAATAGAATGAATCAACATAACAGATATAACAAATTTTATTTATAATTTTATGCCAAAATTTCCATTGCCATAGACCAACAAAAATCTGCCAACATCGAATCAAACCTCTTTCCTCTATAACGATTTTCCATTTTCATTATTGTTTGGAGCAAAATTAATGTACTTTTAGTGACATGTTTACACCCATTTTTAATTTTTGTTTTATTTTTTATTATCTCTTTTTAATTTATTGTTATGACAACAATTTCTTACCAGTTAATTGGTTTAAATTAATAAATAACGGTTTTTCGGGTTCCAAAATTAATAAAACTTAAAATCTATATAAAAAAACAACCTGAATCAATCTAAACATTCTGTAAACGCAAAAAGGCATTCTTTGGATAGGAGAAACGAAAACCACTCAATATTTTTTATAGAATTTTTGCAAAATAGATAAAATAGCATAAAGAACTCATGTCATAAGACCTTTTGTCGCACTCGTCCATTACAAAATGACGTCTTATGACATTAGTTCTTTAATATACTATTAATTAATAGGAACAAATTATTTTTCCTTCCTAAACAGCCCAAATAAAGCTGAAAACAAACATTGTAAAATACGGAAAAATCACTTTAATTTTAGTTTTTCCAAACTTTTAAAAAATAAAAAAAAATCTCAAATTCATTAGTAGGTACTTTAAAGCCAAAAATTATATGGTGGATAAAGATGGAGCAATCTCATGAAAATTAAATATATGTAGGTACCTTTTTTTATGAATTTTTTGTTTTCCTTAAGTATCTCTGTTTTAAAAATCCAATTAGGTATTTTACTTATTTTATATTTTCTTATTTTACTTAAAATTTTTATAATTTTTCGGTTAGTCATACTGGACATGTATTTTATGTTTTTATCGAGTGTTCTTATTTTTAAAATACATTTTGCATATAAAACAGAGTTTTCATCAGATAAATATATTTCTTTAGATAAGTTATTTAAATTTTGAAGATTGTGTTTCCCCATTTTAATGCATATCCGTTGTACGTATTTATTAAATTAGTAAATCATTCCCAAGCAGCATTTTAAGTTTAAATAACTACAAATTTACTACCAAGTCAACTTTAAAGTATTTTTTACGGTTAACCAAAACGGTTTTATAATGGTATAGATATGAAAAATTACCAAATTTGGGGAATGGTTTATTTCCTTATTTTACCTACATAATAGCCTTTCTGATTTACTAAGAGAATAACGTAATAAAAACAATATAAATACCACACATTTACGTAAAAATAACGCTATAATTACTAACTGTTTGCTCTCTCTTTCTACACTGAAAAAAAATATTCTTGATTCAAAACAATCTTTGTCTCATATATAACGAAGAGAATATATTCTTTAAAATAGTAAAGTATTTTCTTAATTCACGTTGATTTACTTCAAGAATATTTTCTTAATGTTCTTACATGTTCTTACATTAAGAAAAGATTCTTGAAGTAAATCAACGTGAATTAAGAAAATACTTTACTATTTTAAAGAATATATTCTCTTCGTTATATATGAGACAAAGATTGTTTTGAATCAAGAATATTTTTTTTCAGTGTAAAACATTGACATTTGTAATTTATTTGTTATTTTAATTTATGTTTTACAAAATGGTACTTACAAAGTAATAAAGGCCACCCTAGAGTAAAATTAAAAAAATATATCTTAAATTGTCAAAACTAATAATATTTTGCATTAAAACTCAAACGCACAATATTTTATTGAAAAAATATTATATAAATGTTTTGATAAGTAATGGATGCAATCTTAAAAAAACTCATTATGGCGACCTGAAAAGATTTATTTTTCACTTTAAGCTTATTTTTTCTTGTTTAGTTAATATTAATACACTCACAGGCAAAATAATCGATCCACACAAATTTTCGATGAATTTCAATCGCAAATAACTTTTTTGTTTGTTTTCGGATTTAAACAAATATTAAAGAATATTGTATACAATCTATAGATACATTAATGGAGAATCGCTCACATTTTAAAAATTACTAAAAAATACACGTACGTTTATAATATACAGGTTTAAACAAAAAGATGTTTTTTTTACCATAAGTTTAAGACACTCTGTAGAGTGGCAAAACCGTATATTGTTCTAAATTAAGTTTTAATTATTAAGTCACATCTATTTTTAACAGTTTTGTTTTTGGTTTACCTTGATATATTTAATTTGTGGAAAATATGGATTTTTTTAAAAAAACATTGCAATTTCCAATATTTTTCCTGTATGAAGAACTAAGGTTGCTATGGTCCATCCATAGCCTATGGAGGATGACAGTGACAGTTTTGTTGAATCATCCCATACTTGGACATGTTATATACAGCTTTCAAAAGCAATCAAATGGTTTTTTGTAAATTAATGTGTTAATTTTGAGGTGTCTTCTTACTTTTAAAAATGTCTCCGACTGATGTTGCCATTTGTACTTTACTTCTTGTGACGTTTAAAACACTTGCCACGTAATACTGTGACCGTCCATCCTGGATTAAATTTATGGCTCTGGCAACATCACTCGGAGACATATCCATTTTTTAAAGTAAGAAGACACCTCAAAATTTAAACATTAATTTGCAAAAAACAATTTGATAGCTTTTGAAAGCCGTGTATGACATGTCCAAGTATGGGATGATTTAACAAAACTGTCACTGTCATTTTCCATAGCCTATGGTTGGACCATAGCAACCTTAGTTCTTTACACAGAAAAATATTGGAAATTGCAATGTTTTTTTAAAAAATCCATATTTTTCACAAAAATAAATATATCGAGGTGAACCAAAAACAAAATTGTTAAGAATAGATGTTTGATAAATAAAACTTAATTTAGAACAATATACGGTTTTGCCACTCTACAGAGTGTCTTAAACTTATGGTAAAAAATATATTTTTGTTTAAACCTGTATATTATAAACGTACGTCTATTTTTTAGTAATTTTTTAAAATGTGAGCGATTGTCCATTAATTTATCTACAATATTCTTTAATATTCGTTTAAATCCGACATCAAATAAAAAAGTTATTTGCGATTGAAATTCATCGAAAATTTGTGTGGATCGATTATTTTGCCTGTAAGTGTAGTATTTATTACCACTAATAACCCTGAAAAAAACCAGGCGAATAGGAATTATTTACGGTTATAAAGTGGCCTTAATATCGTAAAATTATGACTTATGAGTAACATTTACCATTAAGTAAAAATTACCGTTAAATTTTCCTTTAGGTGAAATACACTTATGAGTAATTTTCTTTCGTAAAAATTACGTCCCTCATAATACTTTAAAGTGTTGAAACTTAAGGGTTATTAAAATAGGTAAAAATAACATAAATAAAACTTAGTAACTACCATGGGAACTACAAGATCAGTGATCAGTGCTAGCTCGTTATATTTCATATCCTTAATTAGTTGAATATTTTTTATGTTGTTTTGCGTAGCAGAGTACTCTGCATTGTCTAAAGCGTGTGTGAATTTTTGTTTTAGTGGCAACATGATAAATCAAAGCCAGGCATTATCTACCTAATTTACCGGATAGTAATAGCATTGTTTTTGTTTGTAACATGGCTTCTTTCCGTGATAGACTACAAGAACTCGAACTTGACGGCCGAATTCAGAGCAAAGTATTTGATATATTTGACAAATTGGGGCTATACGACGTGCACTTTGCAGGCACTGGTATGCCTGGTGATGGTGGCCGGATCGGTTTTGTCCAGCAAACTGAAGAGTCACCCAACAATAGAGAAAAAAGTACTGAAACTATACAAGTTTTATAGACTACTTAACGTTATTGCCACGCCAGTTGCTTTTGCCATCACTTCAATGTATTGGTCTGTGATATATGATGGTAATTAAACATTTTATGCACACATTAAAACCATATGCATATGGGGGGCGCAAGAAAGAATCGCGTTCTAATGTCCACTTAATTTCAGCCAGTACAATGACATTCGACGAAATGAACTTTTTCGTCCATGGCAGCAATTCCATTTTTATGATGATTGATTTGATGGTGGTCGCTCACCCAGTGATATTTATGCATTTTATTTATACCTCCATATTTGGCATTACCTATGCCACATTTACTTTGATTTATTATTTGTGCGGCGGTACCAGTCGGTAAGTAATAAACTCAAACCAACTTTATATACCTACAGTGTAACACTTCGCTTCTGAAGATGCCAACATCGTTGGCACTTTCTGTTTTGTTTTGGTGTTGGGGAATATTTCTAATATTTGTTTAACATATCACCAAAGTTTTCATTTTTCAAGTGTTATATTTCACCTGTTATACGTAATGGATTTTGAGTTTTTCGTACCTACATCTCGTTTATCTCATTATTTTAGGGAAGGAAACGTGTACATCTATACAATTTTAAATTGGGATAATCCAGGAACAACAGTATTAACTTGCTTGGGTGTGCTAGTTTTCCTGATCGCCCTTCATTGCTTAACATGGGCACTTCAAAAATTAAGAAGAATAAGCGAGAAAGGCGAAAAATCGATTGTAGATGATAAGACAAAAGAAACAACCAAAAAGAAACACCAGGGATACGTTAACGAAGGAATGGCTAATGATGTTGTGTAAATTTTCAAGTTCCTTTATATTGACTATATTTTTTTTATATTATATTAATAATTACATGTTTTCTTAAATTACTGGTTTTATTATAAATTTAAAATTACGAGTAACGGTTAATGGTATATTGATAGAAAATGCTGTATGAGCGTGGACTTAAATTTCTTAAGCGATATGTCAAAAAATGGGAGCAATATATATTTTTTAATGGTGAGTATATTTGGCAAAAAATGTTGCATCTAAATTAGTAAATTAAAATAATAATTGAGCTAACAAATGACGTGGGTGAACTAGATTGCACAATTACACTGGTGTCTTGATCGGTTAACGGTACATTAAGAGGGAATACCTGTTTTAATTAAAAAAAAAGACGACCAATATTTAAGATGCAAAAATCATGTGACCACGATAGCAGCGAACACAGTAAAAGAGAAGAGCTGACAAGTTGCAAATATACAGGAAAATTTAAAAACAGCCTTAACCTCAAACATATAAAATACCTATGCGCGATCATAAAGTGTTTATGACTCATGGTGGAGCATTTTAATGGTGTTTTGTCTTTGTTGGAAAACAATTAAAAATGTTGTTGTCGTAGAAGAATGTTTTCCCATACCTACATAGTGAAACGGAACTGAGAAGAAGAGTGGTGGTGCAGCATGGTGGTGGTGGTGGTGGTGAGAAAGAGAGGTCGAGGTGCGTGTAACAGGAAAGCAGGAGCAGGAACGGCATGCCGCGGCAGCCCGGCGCGTACACCTACAAGATCACTGGAGTGGTTGGTACTCGGGTACTCGTTCGGCTGTCGTTTTCAAGGATTTCCAATTTGCAGTTACGCAGCCAGGCGATTGTCGGTGTTCGTTTGTTGGTGCTGGTGTATAGCCGTCGCCCTCGCGACTTGGAGGTCTCACTCTGTGACAAAGGAGCGGCTACGACAACGGCTGTGGCCAATGTAAGTACCACCGCGGCAGTGCACCGGCACTAGAGAAGTTAACTCAGACCTCGGCTCGGCTGGCTGCCAGTCTTCGGCGCGTTCGTCCAAGCGGATGTTGTTGTTGTTAGCCAAGCGCTGCTGCTCGTAGAACAACACGTCTTATTCATTTGTATTTAATTCGATCTCATCTCGAGGCATTTACAACAAAATCATCCGGTACCAATACAACGATTGTTTGTGAATTTGACGGGGAATAGAAGAGAGTGAGGAAGTGGTTGCTGCAGGAGCCGGAGGCCACGGCCACCATAGCAACAGAAGACTGTTCGTCAGCAGCGAGGCAAAGAAAGAAGGCAGGTTCCAGAAGCTACCGGGTCGGGTTGGTTGCGGGATGGTTGCAACAACGTGCGCGCGCCCACGGTATACTCTAGAGCGGCAGTAGTGCTCATTGATGCGAAGTGCATGTGCGGGCCGCGATCTCGTTTCGCGGCGCATCCTTGAACCCTCCGGGCCCGATGCCTCTGGGGTCACCCCGACATCTGCCGCAACCGCCGCCGCCGCCAGGACTGGTGACATGATGGTGTACCCCGACCCGCAATGGACATGCTCGGCCACGGCGCCCATGCTGCAGCTCTACGACGACGTCGGCTATCGAGGTAAGCTACCTACTCAAAATAATAACACACCAACTTTGAGTTAAGTGACCTGTCTGCCCATAGGTATATATATATATATTTTCTCCTCGGTCTGCTGGCTAAAAAGTGGCCAAGTGCCAGTGGCTGTAGAAGTCAATAGCAATCCGTCATATGAGTACGCTCGATGCTCTTTCCATCTCCTTCTTCTCTCAGAGGGTCTCTCTTCGCGAATTTCCTGTGCATTAGCGGCGGCGAACGGCCTCTGCAGATAGGGAAATGACTTGTGATTCGTCTACTGGGTCTACCGCGGCTCTCCTCTGCGATTGTGATCGGTCGGTTGCGGGGCAAAGAGTAGTCTCTCGTCGTTGCGTTGCGATTGTGACAGCACCGGGGTACTGCCCCCCTTCTTCTTTCACTTTATTTAATTCTCTCACTCGCTCGCTCGCTCGCCCCCTTTTTCCCCTTGGACCCCTTACAACTCCGCTCTTACTGCTGCTGCTGCTGCTGCTGATTTGCTGCTCTTTGCTCTCTTCTCTGCTTCTTGTTCGGCAACGGCATTTTAGACGACATAGCCAGACGGCAAAAAACTCCCAATGTGGCATAAATTTTGTTTCAGCCGTAACTTGTACTATTAAATGCTTAAAAACTGGCTTTGTACAGACATAAATGCTGCCGCCGACTGGCCATGTTTCCGATTAGCCCACTAAATCGCCACACTCTTCTTTCTTCTTATTCTCTTCTCCTCGCTCGTTCTCATAATCAATATCTACACACATACAGTAGGTACCCACCTACCCATTTAACTACCACAATACTACATCTTACTCGCACTATATCCCGTTAACAATATTTCTTCCAATTTTCCATAAATACCTCTTGGGTATTATCTGATTAAACTGATGTGTTATTCTTCTTTTTACCCAAGCGATGACTCAAACTAAACTTGAGTCACCAACTGCATTAATAAATCAAATTTGACTTTAATACCTACATTGAGTACCTATCTATTCTGGATTACCTTGGCTAGGTGGGAAATAAAGGTTGTACTTTTGATTTCAGTAAATGTGGTGGAGGCATTACAAGAATTTTGGCAAATGAAACACGCTCGGGGAGCGGATTTAAGAAACGGCGCCCTGGTCATTTACGAATCGGTACCATCAAACGCTCAACCCTACGTGTGTTACGTCACACTTCCCGGCGGTTCCTGCTTTGGCAGCTTCCAGGTACCCAATCAAATTGAATTTAAATTGCTAATCGATAATTAAACGAAATTCTTTGCAGAACTGTCCAACGAAGGCAGAGGCAAGAAGGAGCGCCGCCAAAATAGCTTTAATGAATTCGGTTTTTAACGAGCACCCATCAAGACGCATTTCGGACGATTTTATCGAAAAGGCCGTGTCAGAAGCGAGAACGTCGTTCAAAGGCGAATCGGAAGAGCCGGACAACCCTAATACGGGAATAGGCGCCTTCAGGTTCATGTTGGAATCGAACAAAGGCCGAACAATGCTCGAGTTCCAGGAACTGATGACAGTGTTCCAACTTTTGCATTGGAATGGCAGCTTGAAGGCGATGAGGGAACGTCAGTGCAGTCGGCAAGAGGTGGTGGCGCATTACTCGAACAGGGCCCTCGACGATGACATGAGGTCTCAGATGGCTTTGGATTGGATAGCCAGGGAGCAGGAGTGCGCTGGATCGTTGAGAAAGGAATTGAACCAGGCCGAACGGGAGCTCGAATCGGCAAGGCTCGCTGGTCGAGAGCTAAGATTTCCCAAAGAAAAGAAGGATATCCTCATTTTGGCACATAGTCAAGTCAATGTTAGTTAACGATTGATCGTTACTTAACGATCTCCCCTCTACACCTTTAGATATATAGGTAACTCTCTAAATGGTGAACCAATATTGTGAATTTACGTGATATATAAATATAAGTGGTTTACAAAATATTTTGTTTACGGTTATGGATAATAAAATTACTTTTGCTTTTTTGAAAATCATTAAAATATTCTAGGTACCTAACCATTATTACGCTGCATTAAAAATACGTAACACGTCACCATATTATTAGATTAATAATTATTTATTGGATTTAAATATCTTATCAAATTTTATTCTGTAGCTAATTGCTGAAAGCAACGACTTTTAACCAAAAATTAGGCACCAAATTATGTGACGTAGGTAATTACTAATTAGGGAACCGTCAGTAAATTGCTAAATTTTCGCTAAGCGTTTCGTTAATTTTTATGAGACTGTTTTGTTATTTTAAGTAAATTATTTAATATTTTGTGTTGATATTGTATAATAGGACTGTCAAATCCTTGATAAATATTGTTTTAAAGATCTCTTGCTTTAATATATTGTTAATAGTTTTATCTTACAAAAACCTGCTTCCATATTTTTAAGTCAACAATTTTAAATGAAAAACGTAATTACTTTCTCGGGTATTTGTGAAGCTGTAAATATTTTATTAAGGAAACTTAAATGGAATTTGGTTTTTGTTTATTTTGTGGCATTTTAGCTAAAGCTGACTTGCTAGCTACATTGTTGACTGATTACTAAATGCTGTTGCTAATTCTTATGCTAACTGAACATTTTTATTACATTAATTTTAAATAAAAGTTTTAAACATAAACAACATTACTTTATTTATTTATTCCTCTCTCATAAAATATACCATAAAGATGTGAAAATTAGCATTAAACAAGGTATAAACAAATATATATAAATTTCTAAATATCTATAAATAGTATGAAAACACAAAACACATACCTTCACGGATATCGACAGCAATTGTGTGTTTTCTTAGATAATAGTATTTTTGACGTACTATCGGGGGGATCACTAGTACATAGCTTTAAAATAGTGCAAATACTATCGCAATAGTACGGTTGGCAACACTGTATAAGCGAAATAAATAAAGTCGCGGCATCTAGCGGATGCTTCAATAGGTAATTACAGGTTCCTGTACTGACAATTTCGTGTAATGTCAGTATTTTGTGGATCCGCCCCCTATATTTTCTAGCATTGTCAAGTTTGTTAAGTTCATACTGTCATTCAGTTAAAGAAAATTAGTTTGAGTACATTTTCTGTTGTTAATTTGACTGCAAAGTACGTAGATAAATCGAGTTAATTAACAGGTTAACTGGTAGTTATTAGGAAAGTGGGGCGTAGTAAAATTGTTTTATTAAATGTCCAATTGTTATCAATTTGTTTATGTTGATGGTTTAAGAGTGTTATGTGCCCTTAGCTAAGAACTGCATTTACTTTTTACTGTAAACATGAAGGTTGATTTTAATGATTACTTTTGGGTAAGTATCCTTTCAATTCTAATCGAAATTCCCCTTTCAATTTGGCCCAATTAAATTTTTATTAACCAATTGTTTTGGCTTGTTAGGGTGAAAAAAATAATGGGTTTGATGTTTTGTACCATAACATGAAGTATGGTCTTGTTGCCAGCAAAGAATTTGCTGATTTTCTTAGGGAAAGGTAACAAATTTTATAATTCATCCATACCTAATTTAATAATCCAATTATAGATCCAATATAGAAGAAAACAATTCAAAATTATTAAGCAAGTTAGCTAAACAAGCAAGTAGTTGTTGTGTACATGGTACTTTTGCTCCTCTATGGCAAGTTTTAAAAACCTCAGCCGAACGCTTGTCCTCACTCCACATGCAAATGGTACAAAAAGTAAGCGACTTAGTCAAAGAAGTTAGTAAATATGCTGAAGAACTACACAAGAAACATAAAACTGTAAGTGAAATTATTTATTTATATCTATTTTGAGTAAAATATTTTTAAATGCATCATGGAAAAATATTGTTAATAGGACAGTTTTTAAGTGTAACAAAAATATAAAAGAAATAATTAGTAGTTTTTTAATTATGAGAGTTAAAATTTTCTTGATTTTTTTATACCTATAGAATTTTCAAATCAAGTTTTTTTGTTTGAGTTTAAAATTAATTAATACTATAATAATTAGCATATTGATAGAAAAGTATGTATACTTGAAATAACTTAAATATATTGATATGTTTCTTACAGCATTGTCTAAAAAAAATGGTTAATCTGATAAAGCATGTCTAGCAAATAAAATGCTTTTTATTTTTTTTTAAGTACAACATAAACAATTTAAAATATTTATTATTGTAGTGTTTGTTTTGCTTTATTGTCAATTTAAAGTATCTTTGTGTATCTTATGAAATAATTATGATGTTACTTAAACTTAACAACCTTTATTTGCAATTGTATTTTATTAAGTTATTTTATTAATAACTTTTAACTTCACAAATTAAATTTGTAAACTGAGACTAATTAATTTACTTACTTACTTTATCAATGTCAAAGGTTCTATTGATTGAACTATTATTGTGTAATTTATTGATGTAAATAAACTGACTCATCATTTAAAAACAACTTTAAAGGTAAAAGAAGATGAATCAGGGACTCTGGAGGCTGTACAGGCCATGCAAAATATTACTATGAACGTTCAAAAATCAAAAGACACCTACACACAGAGAGCCATCGAGTTGGAAAAATTAAAGCGGGAAAATGCCTCCGCACGTGAAATCGAAAAAGCGGAAATCAAATTGAAAAAAGCCCATGAAGACTACAAGAATTTCGTGGACAAATACGGCGCTATAAAAGAGGATTTCGAGAAAAAAATGATGGTAACCTGCAAGAACTTCCAGGAAATTGAAAACAACCACTTGCAACACATGAAGGAGTTCCTGAACTGCTATGCCGAAGTCGTCGAATGGACTCACACGCAGATGGGAAAAGTCCATCTGGAGTTTCGGCAGCAATGCGTGGAACTCACAGTGGACCAGCTGCTGGAGCAGTTTGTCCTCAATAAGTCCACAGGCTTGGAAAGACCAGGTAAAATCAACATGCTTATTTTAAGATTTTTTTATTTTTTATTTTATTTGCCTAGTTTATGTTGGGCGGTTTTTTAAAAAGCGAAAATCAAGAAAACAGCAAATCGGCGAAGGTACTATCGTTAATATTGTTTTTGGTAAAGGTATGTCATCATGACTGTACATTTATGTTGCTTTTAGTTCAAAGAATATGTAAGAATATATTGACTAACAAAATATAATTATTTTTTATAAAAAAAAATCAAAATACGTATGTTGTATTTTCCGGTTTTATTAATACAATTATAGTACAAAAAATCATTGTGTTTTTGTGTTATGATTGTGTAATTACAGTATAAAGACAAATTTTATGAGATTTATTTTAAATTAAAAATTTGGTAATGCGATTCTTTTATACATACATAAATACCTATTTATATTTATATTAGGGTGATTCATTTTAAAAGAACATTTATAGTCCAGGAAACAAAGATTGTAGAAGGAAAACTCTATGGTAGTCGGGTTTTATTTTTTTGTATGGAGAGTCAGGAGTGCTGATAATGAATCAAGAATATTCCCCAAAAATTTCTTTCTCATCCCCCGAAAGGGGAGTTTTTTGCTCTTTGGCTCATAACTCGCTAACCGTGCATTTTTTCAGAATTTGACCTCTAATACTTTTGATTATGTACTAAATAAGGCACACGTTAAACCCCATTGCGCACCTATATGATGTGCCCTTTTGCTATGCGCAGTGTGCAAAGTTAAGCGTTGCTTTCAAAATCACTTTTTTGTTTGTTTTTTTTTATTATAGCCCAATTTTAAAACCAAACCTTACGGTAATCAAACATAACCGAATGGACGATTTTTTGAGGTACTAGACTTTTTTCAAAAGTTACTGCTTTTCAATGTACAGGGGGTTCTTTTTCAAAACTTTAAATTTTGGGGCACTTGCAATGAAAATAATTAAAAAAAAACTACGGATTCGTTACGAACCTAAAAATCTAGGGTAGAACAAACTGGCTCATTAAAGCCATTTGGGAAAAAATTGCACACTGCGCATAGCAAAAGGGCACATCATATAGGTGCGCAATGGGGTTTAACGTGTGCCTTATTTAGTACATAAACTCCCCTTTCAAGGGATGAAATTAGGGGACGCGGAAATAAATTTTTGGGGAATATTCTTGATTCATTATCAGCACCCCTGACTCTACATAAATAAAAATAAAACCCGACTACAATCTTTGTTTCCTGGACTATTATTTTTTGTCACTTCCCAAGCAAAATATTGATGTACATACATATTAAAAAAAGATGCCCTTAATCTTACTCCTAAGTACTTATTTTGATTAAGGATTTTTTTCAATTTTCTATTGCTTCAATTTCTTACAAAAAAGGTCCTATGCATTAATTCAATAAAATGCATAATTTAATAGATATAAATCATTTAATAAATTTTACTGTAAAATATTGATAAACTAATTCAATTTCCTGCAAAAAAATTAATTTCCTAACGCCTAAAATCTTTTTTAAAGAAAATTTATTCTTCTAAGTCTTTTTTACTTTTTACCTGTAACTTTGCCGTAAAAGACAAACAATACTTTTTTTTAATTAAAAATATGACTTTGGTTGATATGATATACAGTATCGGCCATAATTATTGCAACAACTGTAAAAAAATCTAACTCTAGAACGCCTTTATTAATCTTAATGAAATTTTTAATAAAAATACTTCAACTTATATCTCAGTTTACGTGTTTTTGCGAGAAAATATTTGTAAAGCTCTTTTATTTAATAATAAAAAAACGTTCGAAAAATATGCTATATGCTGTTAAAAAGCGTATTTTTGTTGGTATACCCTAAAGATTTTGTACAAATCAAACGAACAGCGCTTCAAAGTCGGTAAAAATGGCTCTTTTTTGATTATTTTGCTGAAAAGTGGTCATTTTTGACGACTTAAAATATCTTTAGCTTGGTTACTGTTCATTTGATTTGTTCAAAATTTTCAGGGTATACTATTTATTTACTTAAAAAAATTTCCCTAAAAGTTATTTTTCGAACGTTTTTTCATTATTAAATAAAAGGGCTTTAAAAATATTTTATCTATTTTGCGTTCATAATGACTTTCGGTGCTGTAATGAGATACTTTATCCCACCCAAAATTTTGATTTTATAGGTTGGCTATACAGCATAATATTTTGCATATTGGTTAAAATATTTTTATGATTTTTCTAGTACTTACGAGACTTTTCTGGCAATAAATTTTGTTTAACACCAAAGAAAATCCTTTTTTTCTTCTTTAACATTAACAGCCGCTTATTGTAAATAAGTAAATTAAGGACGGCATGGCGAATCGATTTTGACATTAACTGTCAAACCAATGACTGTGATACCAACTATTTAAAGTAAAATTCGACCAAATTTAAGGCATAAAATTAATTTTTTTATAGAGTTTTTGCAAAATAGATAAAATAGCATAAAGAACTCATGTCATAAGATCTTTTGTCGCACTCGTCCATTACAAAATAAAATAAAAGTTGAAGTATTTTTATCCAAAATTTTATAAAGATTAATAAAGGCTTTAGAGTTAGATTTTTTTACAGTTGTTGCAATAATTATGGCCGAAAATGTAGGTTGTATAAAAATTGTTGCAAGTACTTTTGAAGAGCATCTAATTATGTAAAAATCACACATATGTAAATAGCAGTATCCTAAAATACCGCAAAGTTATAGAAAATTGAAAAAAAATCCTTATTTCAATGTAAAATCTTAAAAATCAAAAGTAAGATTTAGGGCTGCAATTTTAGAGGCATTTTTTCTCTATATGTACATCAATACTTTGCTTGAGTGACAAAAAATAAATGTCCTTTCAAAACGAATCACACAATGTGATGACGTCATGTAAACAAATAGTAATGTTTTGTCCAGTGTTTTTTAATTACATACATTTGTAAAGGAATGCATAAAAACTGATAAATATGTGAACATATCTTTTATTACATTCATTTATCATTTGTATGCAACAATATGCAATTGGTATTAATTAAATAAGTCTTATCAAAAAGATTAAATAAATGTTTCTATTCATGTAGGCTAAAGTAGCTGTAACTAACGATATATGTAATCTTATTTTACCAAAGTTGAGTCTTTAATTTTTACACGTTATAAAAATGGGAATTTAAATATTCCTCAGGTGGTACTATTACAGTTATTTTCTTATAAAAAGAATGGTGAAATAAATTTTAGATTGTTTGTAGGTGTGCTGGAGCTGGAGGACGCGCTTTTGTCTCCAACTTTGGAGACGGCAGCTGAGCGTGGCGGCGAGGCAGCGAAGCCGACAAAACGCGAAGGTAACAGCAATAGCGAGCAGACTGTGCCAACACATGCCAAATCTTCCCGTCGTACAACCTCCCTTCTCAATCTCTTCATGTCTAATTCTCAGGGTACGTCATTGAGGTCACTTGGTAGCAGCTATTAGCAGTATTAAGCTAGTGATGAAACGATTTGTCTTTCGAAAGTATTAAATCGCAATTTATGCACTTTTAAGATGTTAAAATCTTAAATAAAAATAAAATGTTAAGATCTTACAAGTGAAAATGACAAAAAATAAAATAATGACATACAAGCCAAAATGACAACATATTGGGTACTTTTAAAAGTCTTCGACGATTTATTCGCATATTTAAACAAATATTTTTCTTCCATTTTGCCATTTTCGGGCAAAAATTGATCCAAGTGTTTTGTAAAGGCTTCTTTTAGAACAAACTTTGGATATGTTAAAACCACTCAAGCTTATAACACTGATCAACAAAATGATTTTTATGACTTAATGAATGTGTATACTTTTTTTTTTGTTAAATTGGGACTCATAGCTACATGAACAATGATGCTTGGTCAAAGTATTTGATTAAAAAAATATATATTTGAATGTTTGCATATAAAAAACGTTTTTAATGTCCAAACCAAGGCTAATTGAGTAAAATTTTGGGTATTTTTGGCACTCAAATTACCCTTGGAAAATTTTTGGTCACTCTGTGGCAAAATATCTGTTGACCAGTGTTGATTAACAGGCTGGAAAGCATTAGCGTAATCGTAGCTAGAGCACTGAATTTGGCCAACTGGAAGAAAAATTGTAAAGGGAACTTGTATTATTAAATGATATTCTTTAAAAATTTAATTGAGTTTAAAGTGTGAAGTGTCAATGCTGAAATTTAACATAAAAAACAATAAAAGCTAGACAAAAAAACATAAAATTAATATGCAAGAGGGGGTTTCTTAAAATTTTCAAATTTACTCTTCATAGAAAATAGCAGCTATTAGCAGTATTAAACTAGTGATGAAACGATTTGTCTTTCAAAAGTATTAAATCGCAATTTATGCACTTTTAAGCGGACATGTTAAAAAAATACAAAAGACGATAAAATGTTAACATGTTAAGATCTTACAAGTTAAAATGACAAAAAATAAAATAATGACGACCTACAAGCTAAAATGACAACATATTGGGTACTTTTAAAAGTCTTGGCCGATGTTTGGGCATATTTAAACAAATCTTTTTCTTCCATTTTGCCATTTTCGGGCAAAAATTGATGCAAGTGTTTTGTAAAGGCTTCTTTTAGAACGAACTTTGGATATGTTTAAACCACTCAAGCTTATAACACAGGTCAACAAAATGATTTTTTGTTTGCCACAGGGGAGGCACATACTTAATGAATGTGTATACTTTTTTTTTAGTTAAATTGGGACTCATAGCTACATGACCAATGATCCTTGGTTAAAGTATTTGGTTAAAAAAATATATATTTGATTGTTTGCATATAAAAAACGTTTTTAATGTCCAAACCAAGGCTAATTGAGTAAAATTTGGGTATTTTTGGCACTCAAATTACCCTAGGAAAATTGTTGGGCACTCTGTGGCAAAATGTCTGTTGACCAGTGTTGATTAACAGGCTGGAAAGCATTAGCAGAAATCGTAGCTAGAGCACTGAATTTAGCCAACTGAAAGAAAAATTGTAAAGAGCACTTGTATTATTAAATGATATTCTTTAAAAATTTAATTAAGTTTAAAGTGTGAAGTGTCAATGCTGAAATTTAACATAAAAAACAATAAAAGCTAGACAAAAAAGCATAAAATTAATATGCAAGAGGGGGTTTCTTAAAATTTTCAAATTTACTCTTCATAGAAAATAGCAGCTATTAGCAGTATTAAACTAGTGATGAAACGATTTGTCTTTCAAAAGTATTAAATCGCAATTTATGCACTTTTAAGCGGACATGTTAAAAAAATACAAAAGACGATAAAATGTTAACATGTTAAGATCTTACAAGTTAAAATGACAAAAAATAAAATAATGACGACCTACAAGCTAAAATGACAACATATTGGGTACTTTTAAAAGTCTTCGACGATTTTTTCGCATATTTAAACAAATCTTTTTCTTTCATTTTGCCATTTTTCGGGCAAAAATTGATCCAAGTGTTTTGTAAAGGCTTGTTTTAGAACGAACTTTGGATATGTTAAAACCACTCAAGCTTATAACACAGGTCAACAAAATGATTTTTGTTTGCCACAGGGGGGCACATACTTAATAAATCTGTATACTTTTTTTTTTAGTTAAATTGGGACTCATAACTACATGACCAATGATCCTTGGTTAAAGTATTTGATTTAAAAAAATATATTTGAATGTTTGCATGTAAATAACGTTTTTAATGTCCAAACCAAGGCTAATTGAGTAAAATTTTGTGTATTTTTGGCACCCAAATCACCCTAGGAAAATTGTTGGTCACTCTGTGGCAAAATGTCTGTTGACCAGTGTTGATTACCATGCTGGAAAGCATTAGCAGAAATCGTAGCTAGAGCACTGAATTTGGCCAACTGGAAGAAAAATTGTAAAGGGAACTTGTATTATTAAATGAAAAAAAAATTTAATTGAGTTTAAAGTGTGAAGTATCAATGCTGAAATTTAACATAAAAAAAAACAATAAAAGCAAGACAACAAAAGAATTAATTTGCAGGAGGGGATTTCTTAAAATTTGCAACTTTACTCTTCATAGAAAATAGCAGCTATTAGCAATATTAAACTAATGGTGAAACGATTTGTCTTTCAAAAGTAGTAAATCGTAATTTATGTACTTTAAAGCGGACATATTAAAAAAAATGACAAAATACGATAAAATGTCGACATGTTAAGATCTTACAAGTGAAAATGAAAAAAAATGACGACTTTCAAGCTAAAATGACAACATATTGGGTACTTTTAAAAGTCTTCGACGATTTTTTCGCATATTTTAACAAATCTTTTTCTTCCATTTTGCCATTTTCGGGCAAAAATTGATCTTGTAAAGGCTTCTTTTAGAACAAACTTTGGATATGTTAAAACCACTCAAGCTTATAACAAAGGTCAACAAAATGATTTTTTGTTTGCCACAAGGGGGTCACATACTTAATAAATCTGTATACTTTTTTTTAGTTAAATTGGGACTAGCTACATGACCAATGATCCTTGGTTAAAGTATTTGATTAAAAAAATATATTTAAATGTTTGCATATAAAAAACGTTTTTAATGTCCAAACCAAGGCTAATTGATAAAAATTATGGGTATTTTTGGCACCCAAATCACCCTAGGAAAATTGTTGGTCACTCTGTGGCTAAATGTCTGTTGACCAGTGTTGCTGGAAAGCATTAGAAGAAGTCGTAGCTAGAGCACTGAATTTGGCCAACTGGAAGAAAAATTGTAAAGGGAACTTGTATTATTAAATGATATTCTTTAAAAATTTAATTGAGTTTAAAGTGTAAAGTGTCAATGCTGAAATTTAACAAATAATTTGCAAATATTTAAGTGCAAAATAAGTAAAAGTCGGGTAGTAAAAAATGCAATGGTTTCATCACTGGTAATAACATGGGCGCGGGGGGCTGTTGGTTTCAGGGTCTCGCGAGAGCAGAGCAGGGCCTTGCAGTGCCCCGTCTAGTCCAACTAGTCCGGATGCTGAGCAACAGTTAACAAGACATTCCAACAGAGGATCCAAGTGTAATTTTTTCTCATCATTTTCTCTCTCTCTCTCTCTGGCTGTTTATTTGTTAATTATTATTAATTATTGACGCACTCGTTCAAACTTATCGCATATTTAGTCCAACTTATGTGCCTGCACCACACTGCTTAAATATACTTTAGGGTGATTCGTTTTGAAGGAACATTTATTTTTTGTCACTCCCCAAGCAAAGTATTGTTGTACATATTGTAGCCAGTACCGCTCTGGATCTCAGAATGATGACTCATCGCCGGTGAGTCAGCGCTCGAGCGATCGAGACCGGTCCGGAGCTCGCTGGAATATTTGGGAATGCACGTAGGCACTGAATATGTAAGAAACAGCGCAGCATGGAGCAGTCAGTCAAGTTTTGGTACTCGCGACGAAATAAATAAATATACGTGCAAATAAATAGACTCTTGAACAGTAGTGTATAAATTATTAGTAGTTAAGTGTTTAGTTAGTTTTATAGTTTCTTAGTGTTTTAAGTGTAATTAAGTTATAAAATAAATAGTTTAGTGCGTGTTTTAATTCACACTACGAACAGTAAAAACTTTACAATATAGAGAAAAAATGCCCTTAAAGTTTCAGCCCCTAATCTTACTCATAGTTTTTGCAATGAAGGGATTTCAATGAAAAAACTTTGAAATCAAAATAAAACTTCAAGGGTATTTTTTTCTTTATATGTACATAAATATTTTGCTTGGAGGGTGACAAAAAATAAATGTTTCTTTAAAATGAATCACCGTAATATACATATATGGACAATATGCAATAATTTTGTTCAAGTATGTAGTATGTCTGCATGCTGCAGTGGCGTTGGCTCGGATTTATTACATGGTTGTTATTTGGTGGTGGTTGCTTCATATTCACATTGTTCCTGTATTTCAATTGTTGTTTGTCCCCTTTTGTGTACTGGCCTTCGCCACAGCAGTAGATTGTAGTTCCGACTCCTTATGGTTTTTATATTGTTACACTTGCACGAAACTCTGTTTTTATTTATTACAAACTCACTTGGCAGTGTTGGCAGGTTTCTGTAAACAACATAACCACCTTATATCTTACACATTGCTTTCGTTTAATTATTTCCACACCTTTTTTTTTAATTGTTTGCTTTTAAAAGCAGTGCAGTGAATTAAGTAGCAAATGTTGCAGGGTTCTTGAGAAGCAGACGCGATAAGGCTAAACAAAAGAAGTCCAAAAAGAAGAAGGATAGCACTGACAATCAGAGCAACAAGGAGGAAAAATCAGATTTGTATGTTTTTAAATTGCCTCGGTCAACAAAATAACACGTTCTGTTGATTATTTTGAATTGAATTATTTTTTAGGGAAGAAAAAGAGGAGACGCCCAATGTAAGAACAGCGGCCGCGTCGGCCGATTTCGCGCCGCCAGAATTGGATGAAGACGGTTATGTTATTAGGCCTAACGTCCAACACAATTGGAACAACGAGAAAAATTCGTTTTATTCATCTTCAGATACAGATTCTGGTAGGTTTATTTCTTATGAAGGTTGTCCCAGTAAGAGCTTTAGGTCTGGTGTGTTAATTAAAAAAGTTATTGCTGGGACCCCTTTTATGGCCATTTAAATGATGTAAAGTGTTTTTAGACGAGGAAGGCGGTCGCAAGATTCGCGTGGAAATAAAACCGTTGAACAACGGTTCGGCTCCGATGTCCGCATCGGTGGACGAACTCAGAGCCACGGTCGAGAACCTGTACCTCTCTCCTACCGGAGGTTTCGGTCGTAGAGGCTCAAATCTCGATCAGGAGTTAGCAATGAAACGTTCTCAGTCCGTTTCCCAGCAACTAGGAAAACCAAGTACTGATTTATTAGGCCTAAGTTTCGTTCAAAGCCCTACCGCTTCTAACGCTTCAACCCCAACTAGTTCGCATCCGTATGCACCTCTCCAAAGTCCATCTCAGCTGGCTTTAAACTCACCAACTCTTTCAGTATCTTCTAAATATGCTGGTGAGTGCACATTGATGATTACTAAGTCTCATACACGGGCTCTATTGTCTTCCCAGATTTCAATAATTCCTTCTAATATTTCTAACCTCAATGGAGCCCCGATAACGTTAGTCCGCCATCGCACTAATATCACTGGTCAACGGCCATTTTGCCACAGGGTGGCTAACAACTTTAGAAATATTCCCCAACACCAAAACAAAACACAAAGCACTTGCGGACATTTTTTGCTGAACAAGTTTTAATAAGTAAAAGTAAGAGTTTTGAAAGTCTTACTTTCTCTTAAAAATTCTGAAAAAGTCTGAATAAGTCTTAGTAAGTCAGACTAATAGGAAGATTTGGGAGTCTTCTGGAAGAGTTAATAAGACTTTTAGCAGAGAAATGGTAGGTATACCTATAGCGATTAAAATAAATATCCGGAATTATTCAGAGATGTGGTATTTGGTTATTGCAAAATAAAACACAAAGAAATGTATTTATAAACACTGTTTTTGTGTTATAAGCTATTAAAACACGAAAGCAATGTTTATAATATTAGCTATAGCAACGTTTACTTCAATTTTTTACAATAAAACAGTTGCGACATGTTTGATTTGTGTACATACATAAGGTATAAAAACTATAAGTTAAACTCATAAAACAAATATGGTTGATCTTCCAGCTGCTTTCATTGCTTGTGTGCAAAGAAGGTGTTCTTTGAGTGACCAAAAATTACAAAATACAAAAAAAAATAGTTTTATTTTAAATTTACTAGCGCATTTGCCCTGCTTTTAAAAATAATTTAAATTAATTTAAATGTTATATAAGTCATTAAAAATTTAACAGAATAGAATAAAATAATTGTGCATATTTAGTAAATATACAATAATATTTACTGAAAATTTCTTTAGTTATTATTTTATTTGAAACTTCAAAATTCTACCCGCAAACATGACGAAAATAGCCGATTTTCGAGTAAAATACTTGCAAACGGCAACACTGGGTCGGACTGACAGAAGAAAAAAGCAATGATTGGTCAGCTGAGAAAATCAATATTGCGTCTGTTGTTTTTTGAACAATTGTTTAGAACAATGGTTAGATGAATATTTGCGTATATAAAAAGAAACTATCACGTACAGTGGCAACAATAAAAGGAAGTTAAGCGCATCGTATGTAAAAAATTATAATTGTTATAATTATTACACCTTACATATGTTATTATACATGTAGGTAATAATGCAATAAACTTGGCTTAAAACAAAACAGCAAAAATGTTAATAAACACTCTTCTTTTTGTTTTATTTTACAATAACCAAATACAACCTCTCTGAATAATTCCGGATATTTATTTTTATTGCTATAGCTAAAACTAGGTACCTACCATTTCGCTTTTAAAAGTCTTCCAAGACTTATTCAGACTTTTTCAGGCTCAGTAAGTCTTATTCTGACTTTCCAACTTAATAAGTCCTACTTATGAGTCTGCTAGATAGTTATGAAAGTTTATACATCTATAACTTGTATAAATTAGTTTGTTAGTTTCTCTTGGCGTGTTCACTGAAGCGGTTACGGTCCACGGTTTAGTAAACTGTGTCCGTTTACGGTTCAGTCAACCCCTTAGCTTATAATTAGTATAAATATGGCAGATTAAGCATTTAGATTTAGTTACACTTCGCTTCTGAAGATGCCAACATCGTTGGCGAAATGTACTTTAAGCACTTTGTGTTTTGTTTGGGTGTTGGGGAATATGTATGATATTTGTTTACCCTAGAAAAGTTGTGGGGGTCGACCAGTGTAATACAAATAATAGCTTTCTTGCAAACTATTAACACACAATCAATTTAAATCATCATTTGTGTATTTAATATTGAAGCACTTAAGAAGTGAAATTAAACGACTTTGTTTAAAAAAAAATGATTTCGGTCAACGGTAAAACTGAAAGCAAAAACCGACGCCTTTCAGAGTTGGGAGATTTATTCTCGGAAGACGGCGAGCTTCAGCAGCCGCCGCCAAAGCAGGCCGCAAGACAGACGCCGACTCCGACGTCGGGGTACATGTCGATCCCGCGGCCGCCTTCTCGCCGCTCGGACGCCTCGAGAAGTTTGATCGCACAGCAGAGCAGCAGCATCAGCAGAGCCGACAGCATCAGCAGTTTGGAGTTTCGCACTGCTTGCGTGCCGGTGGGGGTTTCGCGAGGCCCTTCGCCGTTGACAATCGGAATGGCGGACACAATTCCACTCGCAGTGGCCTTCCACGAAATCGTGCACTCCTACTTCAGAGGGTCCGACGAAACGAGGTAAGATTTTTTTTTTTTTTAATTATTTTATTAAGTGCGAAATTTTAGGTGCCAAGTCAAGATGTCGGGAGAAATGATGCTATCTTTCCCAGCTGGTATTGTAACCATCTTGGCTAACAACCCGAACCCCGCTAAACTGTCTTTCAGAGTAAAAAACACTCAGCGATTGACCAGTATTTTGCCTAATAAGCAGTTGGTTTCTATGTAAGAATAAATAAACTCAAAATTCGACACAAGATTAAATACAAATTTTTTATAGAGACAATATTGAATCATCCAGTGATCATATAGGAGTTGAATTTAACATGTCAGCATTGAGTTCGCTATTGAAAAAACAATCTGAACAAAACCCCAGTGCTTCTTATTTCAACGTAGACATACTGAAGTATCAAGTAAGCTAACACATTTACTCACTATACAGCCCGTTCAGAGTAAAACCGAATATAGGGAAACGTATCGGGCGTGGCCTCGCCTCCCTCCAACGCGAATGTTAATGAGATTTTTTGCATTATTATCATTTAATTTTCAAGGTCGTCATGTCGTTTATCACACAAGCTACTGTGACGCGCGTTGGAGGGAGGCGCGGCTACGCCCGATACAATTCCCTATATTCGGTTTTACTCTGAACGGGCTGTATATATTTTATTAATTAATCATATTTATAGATTAAACCTAAACCGGGTGCTAACTCATGCCCATTCCAATTGGTGGCTTATTGGAAGTGCACCAACGCGCATACGGATTTAAAAATTGACTACAAGTACAACTCGCACTCCATGGGCTCTCCGACGCCCCTATTGAATGTCACTGTGGCAGTGCCAATAGATGGGGGCGTCAAAAATATGCACAGCAAACCGCCAGTAACATGGTAAGAACATTTATTAAAAACTGTTGCTTCAAATATTTTTTACCAAAGGTGTACAGGGTTATTCCAGTTATCTCAGTTCAGGGTTCGAAAAAATCATGATTTAAAAAGAAATCAATGATTTTTATTAAAATAATTAAAAAAATCAACAAAAAATTATTTTTTTTTACGATTTTTTTAATTTTGAATATTGTGGACATGGGCTTCCATATTAAATTTTTCAAGACTACACACACCTATTTAACATTTTTTAAAAAAGGAGGAAAACACTTTTAATGACCTAAAATATTTAAAATTATATGCTTTTTTAATAGTGTACTATTAAAAAAAATACTAAAAATAACTTGACTATAATAATATTATATTGGCACTACTTTATAAACAAATAAACCACCGTCCGCAACTGTCATATATTTTTTTGTATATTATTATTTTATTTAACAAAATAAGCAGTTTTATGAATTATATTTAAATAGTGTCAAGTGTTTTTTTAGTGTTTTTTTAGGTTTTTTAAAATAAAAAAGTCCCTTGATTTAAATCGTTAGTTACACTTCGCTTCTGAAGATGCCAACATCGTTGGCGAAAAGTACTTTAAGCACTTTGGGTTTTGTTTTGGTGTTAGGGAATATTTCTAATATTTGTTTAACGTATTACCAAAGTTTTCCCTTTTTAACTAGTGCCTACTGAGTTTATTATAAGAAATATAAAAATACTTTAAAGTTTTAGGGTGTCCTAAATCGCCAGAAAATGTTACGTAAAATATAAAATGAATATCGCAAAGTTGATATACAATTCCAACTTGGCAAATCTTCAATGTTAGATATTGTTTCCCTGAATTCAAAAATATATCATATGAATTCGCGGTCAACATATGATAAGGCCCGGACTTTAAGGCCATAAAAAAGTGAAAAAAGGTTCCTAAATTAGGTGATATAGTCATAAAATTTTACTTAGGTACCTATATTTTGGTTACTTAAATAAAAAAATAATATTAGCTGATTTCTTGAATTAAAGAATGTCTAGAAAAGTTTATAAACGAGTTGCATATTATACTTTTTCTACTACAAATACTTGTATACCTTGAAAATGGATTAAACAACAGTTTTTCAAAGTGAAAGTGAAGAAAATGTTTAATTAGCACTTAACGGTAGAGTCCGAGCCCGACATTAAGTTATTTCTAGTTTATTGCTGGCGAAATTAAAAGGTGTGTACTGACCTCCAGGCTACTCGGGAATTTTTGTAGCGTTCGTTACAATAAAAAATTGTGAGTAAAAGCTACCGTAATTAAATTAAATACTATTACAATAGTTACTATTGCAAACAATGTTCATATTAACTTTTCAAATATATCCGCGGATGCGGATGCAGATGTCCAAATCTATGCGGAAGCTCCGCATTTGCGGATGCGAATATTCGCAACATCCCTGTAGTATAGGATAAGTAATCCACAGCGAAAACAAACACGTAATAATTTATTTACAAGAAACAAATGATGCTTCACAACAAATGCTCCCATTGGTCATGATCACGTGCGCACTGCGAACGACACGCGCTATTCGCCGGCCCCGCCCAATTTCTTTCTTGTGGCCTTGCATAACATTCGCATCCGCATGAACATCCGCATTGGTTATTGCGGATGCGGATGCAGATGTCCAAATCTATGCGGAAGCTCCGCATTTGCGGATGCGGATGCGAATAATCGCAACATCCCTGTTACATACGAGTTTCAAACAAAGATGCAGTAATATGAAACAAACTGTTTCTTTTTTCTTCTTTCTTTTGCTCTACGAATATCAACATCAATCAATTTATATATTTAAACAAATTTTCAGGCCTCATGATAATAATAGGATAGTATGGAAATTCACGGAGCTTTCGCAGCATTCGGATAACCACGGCGTGGGTTCGATGCTGGCGCGTTTCGACTTGGAAAACGGTCCCAGCAATCCGGCAACAATTTCGACCGGATTTAACTGCGAAGGCACCACTTTGTCCGGAATCGATTTCCAGTTGGTCGGTCCGGGTTATCGGCTGTCTCTAGTCAAAAGAAGATTCGTCTCCGGTAAATACATATGCGACGGGGATCAAAAGTACAACTCGGGAACGGGGACGCCGTCCACCGGCTCTGCGGCTGCCAGCACAGTCTCCTCAGCCGGCGACCCAAATTGCTAGCAGTTCCGCATATCAATAGTGCAATACTCCTCGTATGTACCGCATAAGATTTTATGTCAACTATTTTTATTTATGACTATTTCTATGTTATATAGCCTATATAAATTTATATAGTTTATGATTGCTATTTTATAATCAATATAAAGAAATAAATAAAGCACATTACTCTTTTACTATATCTTTTATTTTACTACACTTTGCAATCACGTGAAGGGGGGTATTGAAATAAAAGGCACATGTAACAGAAACTTCATATAACTCTTTACTGTTTTTAATCATAAATATTATAAGTGCGTTCGATGTACCCTAAAATAACCATAAAGTTTGAAAGCAAACGCATCTACACAAAATATATGAATATCAATATATCAACCATAGAAGGTTTTTCTGTCTTACGGCGGCAGAAACACAGTGCACTGTTAAGAGATCACGATTTTTTGTTTTTTATTAGTTATTTAATTGGGACGTCCGTGTATGTAGCTAACAAGTACGAAACTAAATTTCCTGCTTTTACTTTTGACGGACTCGGTATAGATGGACAGCATGGAACATAAGCAATTTTTGTTACAAAAAGGTAAAGCTGGGCGCAAATGGCAAAAAGAGGACAGCAAATTGGTTTGTTTATATTAATATTACCATGCTACATTTTTCAGGACTGCTTAACCAGTAAAAAGTATGGAAATATCTTTTAGGAACTTATTTACACTTATTCAAGCAGGGCTCTCTAAAACCGATTATTGAATGCAATATTTTTAAGACAGTTAATTTAATCATAAGTTTTTTGTTTTAATATTACAAAACGCCTAATTAGGTAATCTAAGCTAACAGTATTAAATTGCACCGCATCTTTAAAAATTGGGTACCTATTTTTAAAAACGTCACACTTATGTATTTAAGCTTCTAACATCAGTCTTACATGCTATGTTCTGCACCTAAGTATTTTGAATTATTTAAGGACACTTAACTATCATTTCTTCTTAAAAATATTGCAAACCTATTTGGTTTTATTATTTTTTGGACATATTCTTATATAGGTATATTGCATTAAAATTTTGTCTTGAAATAATTTTAGATAAGCTTATGTAATAATTTTTATGGGACGGGATGACGTGGACCTTTGGATTTGAAAATTGTTAATATTGAAGTTGTGTAAAATAGGTACCTACTTGGACGCCCCTGTGTATATAAAATTATTTCAAGAGAAAATAAAATTAGGTAGGATTAGATGAGGAACAATAAATCATAATTTTTTGAACTTGGCAGTGTAACACTGTTATAGCTCTCAAATTATTACTTTTGTTTCAAACTTTGATTGCTAGTTGTTGAGCATAAGATACATTAGAAAGAAGCTGAAGAAGTTAAAGCCTCACTTATTATTAGATAAACTTAAACGCTAAGAGATATCTTACTTTATAGAAACTTATTATTGTTAATATAACATGAACATCTTTCCAAAAATATGAATGAATATTTACTAGGTTAAACAGCCTCGAATGCAACATTATGATTTGGCTACTACCCTGTCAGGTTTTTTATGGAAAAGACCCGTGCATTTAAACTTGATGAACTCAATTCTTGTCTATCACATTTCATTTGGTTCTATATCGTGGACAGGCCCAGTATAGCCTGTGCAATGATGACCCTGCCCGGTAATAACCGCCAATTCCATACCTAAAGCAACATAACCAAATCGAATACTGTAAGCTTAAATCGGCCAGCCGATTTATGATAATCCATGTTCTTTATTTTGATCGTGTAAAGTTGGCGGGGCCGACTGCGCCACCGGAGGCGGGATATCAGGCGGAGTCCAGGCGTTTACCTCGCTACGAGGTCTGTTAGTGATATCTCCTATAAAGCAACACAATTCAGAATTCAAAAACAACAACTTAAATATTAATAATATATTATGTATCAAGTTTTATAAACGCCATTTTAATTACGAGTTTTATTAGGCACGAGCGAAGCTTGCGAGCGAGTGCTTAATAAAAACGAGTGTCTAGAGAAGTTTATAAAACGAGTTGCATACTATACTTTATCTACGACGAACAAAAAACAGAATTTAAAGCCAATTTTATTTGTTAAAAATTTGACATCTGTCAACTGTCACCCGAATTTAACCTCACTTTTTTCAACTTTATAAAAAATCTAAATTCAGTGACTAAAACACCATATATTTACAGCTCGTCAATGTAGGAGTAGATAATAGTATATTATGTTTCAAGTTTGATAAACGCCATTTTAGAGACGAATTTAATTTAGGCACGAGCGAGTGCTTAAATTAATGTGTGTCTAGAAAAGTTTATAAACGAGTTGCATACTATACTTTTTGTACGACAAATATATTTAATAAGTATACTTAAGTATGCTTATAATAATTATTATTATCTAAAAATAAATTAAATTAAATATTTTTATAGAACGACATCTATCAAACAATAGGGGAATCTGTCAAATGTCAAATTTTTATGTGTTAATAAATCGAAATGTATCCCTTGAAAATGGATTAACAACAGTTTTTCACAGTGAAAGTGAAGAAAATGTTTTATGAGCACTTCACGGTAGTCCGAGCCCGAATTTAAGTTATATCTAGTTTACTGCCGACAAAATGAAAAGGTCAGTACAATGTTTATATAAACTTTTCAAATATTCGCGTTGAGAAAATATTTAATGCTTTTGTGTTTTTGTATTGAGATAATAAAATAATTTTACAAGAACGATTTTATGACATTTGACCATTTAACTTAAAGCTAACTTCAGCCCGTGACTAAAACGCCATAATATATTTAATTTAAAAATCACTGACGTCGATCTGACAGTCAATATTCTTTTTCTATGGTCAAAATGCTCGGTAGGAACAAGCCTATCATATTATATACACATATGTATTAAAATCTGATGTGATTATATGGAAAACAAACTGGTAAAAAATTAATTAAAAGTATTAAAGACCATTTTGGTGCTCGTAGTGTGTGGTAGCTCTATGAAATAGTGAAATATAAGTGACTTATAGACCTGGGAGGGCCAAAATGGGGGTCCCGGTATAGAAATATACCTGTATTTTTGGACAATATAGCGAGGTATTTTGTGATTTGTACAATACATTGAGTGGATGATCCAAGATTTGGAAAAATGGTACATTTAATTAAGTCTTTTGGACACCAAGAAAAAAGAAGAAGAATTCAATAAAACTTTGGAAGAATTTCATTTAAATACTCTGTTTTTTGTCGGGCTCTTTAGATAACCCAATTTAACATCATTCTATCGTTGAAATCGGACTATCCGATTTTTAATGAGCTGAATTCATCACGTACGGCAGTTTTTTAATAAAAACTGTAAGAAATTTGAAGCTGTTGGGAAAAATATATACCTTCTCTAACATTCTGAGTGACGGTAAACGTTTTTCCAGTATCTAGCGGGACAGTCCAGTTGACGGGATCAGGTGATCTCATCAAAATTTGTTCGGGCGATTTAACTCTAGTCGGTTCCGGCGGAGATTTAACCACTGGTTCATAAGTTAAACTGTCTAGTTGGTGTTCTTCGTTTTCTGTTTCCTTGTTGGTGTTTGGTTCTTCTGCCTTCACACCGTCAGCTATAATATTTAGGTAACACCAAATAAAATGAATTATTTAAATAATGGATTGGTGATAAATGATTGATGAAAATGCCGGTGAATGAATTTGGGTCTGGTAGATTTGCTGGATAATTCAAAACGCGTGTGCCAAGGATCGTGCCTTTGTGTTGATCTTACCTCCTTGATTTCCTTTTCTTATTACGTCTTTAGCGCCTACTTTTTGCTTAGACGAATCGATACTACTTGTTTGAGATTTTGTATTTGATTTAGCCAATTGGATGTCTTCATTTTTAGAGGCTACAGTACTGTTTTTAAATCGGGATGTGGTGTTCAAGGATGCTAAAAAACCGGAACATTTGTTACATTATCAGTCAGACTTGAGCATGCACCCATTCAGGATGAAAATCCAAAAAACAGGACATTTGCAAAAAGCTTCCAAACCAAACCTTATACTTTACATTTAACAACCATGACTTGTTTAGTTTTAATTTAGAGAATGACTTGGGTATGTCCAAACAAGTACTTTTTGTATAAGATTGTGTTTGGTTTTTGTTTGTTTCCAGCACACATTCACGGATTGCTATAAGGCTTAGTGAGTGAGATGATATGACAAATTTGACAATTTTGTTTAACGTAAAGCAAAACTTAACACGTGACGTAGCCAAGCAACATATCACGAGTCTTGGCACACACTGATTAGTTAACATGCTTTTTTCTTACAAGGTCTTGGCCTTTTAGTCAACGGAGTTCCAGATGATGATTTTCTTTCCTTAACTGTGGCGGATCTTGATTGGCGCTTTGGTGATTTTTTTTCGGCGGTTGAGTCGATTATTGGACCCACTGATTGAGATCGAGCTAAAAAAAAAGTTAAATAGTGTTGCTATACTTTTATTGCTTGTTTCTACCCTTTGTAGCTTTTTGGTTGGCTCTTTTTAACGATGAAGACTTCATTGGAGAATTTTTCTTGGGGCTATTTTTTTGAGACCCTCTTGAATCGTCGTCTTTCCTTGGAATAGTTGGTTCTAATTTTTCCCTAGTTGGTGACAAAATTAGACCATCTAATTCTAAAATAATAAATAATAAAATAAACCTTAAAATTAAACAAACCAAACAAACCTGAACCTCCAGTAGTTCTCTCTAGGTGATGTCTTATGATGTCCCTTATCATACGCGCGTTATTTTCAGCGTTGCGATAAGCTTTTGATGGCGAGCTCTTTTTGTTATTGTCTTCCTCCTTCTCCTCCTTCGTGTAGGCTTTATGAGTCGAGGCCAAAGATAAGGCGGAAAGCGAACTCCTACGAGAAACTTGATCCCACAATTCCACTTGCCTATTGTACAAATCGGACAGTCTATCCGGAGCTAGTTCACTTCCCCAACCGCGATTCTGAAACAATGGATAATTCTGCGGATATTGGACTGGCAAACGGTGGGGAAAACAACCTTTTGCTTTTAAACCTTCTACACAGAAAATAATTGCCACAGCTCACTACCCACTCAAACGAGAATGAGAAGAGAATGGAAAATGTGGATAATGATTTCGGCAAATTGCTCTTGCTTTGTTGCTTAAAGGTTAAAAAGTGAATGAAAAGGATTACCTTGTATTCTCCAGCTTTTTTCCGTAAGGCTACGACTTGCCGATACCAAATATCCTTTTCCGAATCCTCATGAATGCCGTTCTCTTCAATGTTGGGATGATTCCTCGTTGATGAGATGTTCCTGGCGCGTTTGTCGGCGTATTCGGTAAAGGGGCGATAATTTTTCTTGTATTCCGAATGAAGTTGCTCCCTGGGTTTCTCCTGGCCCCTATCGCTTACCAATGGTTCTAATTCACTCGCTATTATTAATGAGAATAATTAAAATGTTTATTATTGTTTAGTTAAAATTCATACCATCTTTGTTCTCGAGGTCCTTCCTGTTTTTGTGGACCATAGCAGCGTTAGCATTGGCTTTGAGAGCACCCATGGATTGTGATTTTTTGGGGGCAGAGTCGGCAGCCTCTCTTCTCGATACATGGGTCTGAGGCCAGGCAAATTGTAAACGATATTCAGTACTAATTTTTGAAATAGCCTTTCTAAAAAGACCTGACTCTTTCCCCTAAAATAAACAAGTTTGATTTCGTTTTAGAAGAACGAGGAGGTCCTTTTTTATTTACACCAACAAGAGACAGATCATAGAAAATGGGTGCAGATATAATTTAATAAAGACAGAATAAAATCCATTTTCTTGTGAAATGTTCTTTAAGAGGGGAATATCATAATGATTTTTGCAATGATGGAATGCGAAGGTGTGGTGACTGTAGGTGTTTAGGGGGGACGCGGTTCATTTCGGTTTTAACTGTTTTTTACCGTATTGTCCACATCAGGGTCTGATTCCCGACGGGGTTCCCGCTCCCTAACGTGGCCGCCGCAGAGCTCATTACGCGCAGGACCTTCCGACTTGCTTCGTCGAGAAGGCCTCCAGCTGGTGGATCCCAGCTGGCCTCTCTCTTCCGACTGGAATTAAAATGAATACATCTCTAACAAATCAAAATAGTGAGAGAGCAGAGTCTTACGTCCCATCATCATCATCTTTCTTTTTTGTCGCAAAAGTAACACCACCATTTCGCAAGTACCCAGAGAACCATGGTTTGTGAAGGAAATTAGTCAACTTTTTCCCAACCAAGTTTGGTGTACGATATTTTACATTTATTGGGGTTTATTTGGACATATAATTTGTATTTTCATTAAGTTTGACCAATAATTACATATTTTATGCCAATCATTTCCCAACGCGATAGCACCAAAACAGCATGAATTATTTTTGGCCAACTTCTTTTGTAATGAAATTTGGCCGAAAATTGGCAGGTTGATCGAAACTTGGCAAATAATTGATCAGCATGGAAAAAGAATCAGTTTACTATGCGCAAAAGCGCTTTATAGGTACGACGTAAAAAGTAAATTAATATTTCAAGACCTTCTCTACAAAAAGGTGTAAAAAAGTGCTTGTGTGAAAGTTATTACAAAAAAAAATAATCTAAACTAAACGCGTGTTTTAAACGGCTTTAAATTTTGAGTAAGTAATTAAAGTTATGTTTTTGTATTATAAATTTACATTTGTAGTTCTATATTATGTACTTTATTTTTTGTTAATTGTAACAGATGTACAAGGCTTTTACTACGAGCAGGAAAATTTAAAAATAAATTTTATACCTATATGTCACAGAGGAAAAAGATGATTTATTGGGCAAGGTAATTGTATTTTTTGCATTGAATTTTAATATTGATTTCTTTTTTATTTTAGTTCTTCATAACATATAAATATACCAATCACAAAAATTTTACAATTTAAGAAAACATAATTCTTGATAGCCATATCGTAATTCTATTTGTCTCATAATATTATAACATTAGAGGTTTACATCAACACGAGAGATTTCCTCCTCCTGGAGAGAGTTTCAGAGGTCCTTTGACGTGGCCTTGAACAATGCCAAGCAACGTGCTAGAAATCAAAGAAAAGCCTTAATTTTGCAAAACAAATTAAAAAGCTTTTCTTAGGATTCTTCATAAAAAACAATATTTATCCGAAATCGGCAGTAAAGTAGAACTTTACTGCCGATTTAATACGAGTATTGTATGCAACCCATTATACATTTTAAGATGTGTCTACAGCTCCTTAGCAGCAATTAAATAATATTAAAAAAAGCACCGTCGCGGAGGTCGATTGGACCCTTTCATAAAATGTTGTTTAATAAAAATAATAAGTTAATTTTATTAATTAGATTAAAAAATCGCCGCGGCGGGCAAATATATAATAACCGTCGCAAAAACAGTATACGAGGTGTGTACAAGAAATATAGGGAATTTTCGTTTTTTGAAACAAATATTTATTTATTCGTCTACATTAATGTTGTCGCCTTCAAAATAGTTGGATATTATGCACATGTGCCAGCTCTTCTTCCAATACTTGAAACACTTCTAAAACTCGATCTTTGGGATAAGGTTTAAGGTTCTCTTTATTTTTGGGAATAGGAAAAAATCAGACAGAGGCATGTCTGGCGAATATGGAGGCTGGGGCATCATTACAGTATTGTTTTTGGCCAAAAATGTTGTTCAAAATTTAACAACTTTATATCAAATTTTTCTGCCACCCGTTTCATACCCAAAACATTCGAAAAAATTTCATGGGATGAGCCAATCGATATACCAACATTATCAGCGACTTCTCTGATGGTTTACAACCATTTCTTCCACTTTTTTCATGTTTTTATCGGTTGTTAATGTGATTGTGCGTTCGGGGCGTTCGTCATCTTCAATGTCTTCACGACCATCTTGGAAACTCTTATACCACTTGTAAACTCTTGTTTTACTTATAGCAGACTCACTATAGGCCTTTGTTAACATTTCACAGAATTTATTTTATTTTTTAAGCAAAATTGGATACAAATTCTTTGATTCATTTTTTTTAACGAACGAAAATTGCCGAGCTCATAAAACACGTCTAACCTTAGCGGCTGCCACAGATAAAGTAAACAATGAAAACAGCTAAAGTTTTTATCATACTTCGGGGGCATGTATACCAACATAATAAAGAAAATTTTATGACAACCGGACCCTCCGAACCCGCGAAATTTAACAATTCCCGTTATTTTCTGAACACACCTCGTACGTAGACACTTCCTACATTCAAATGACATTTGATTTGATCATCAAATGACATTTGATTTAATCATCAATATAAATTATTAGTATTATTAAATGTTATTTCGGATAAAATTTAATATGCTGCCTTGATACATAAATAACTATTTTTTTCAAATTTTTATCTTTTAAAATATTTTTTAATTATAATTTTTGTATTGTTTTCTTAACAATTTTTTTTTATTATCTATATATAAGAAATTTAAATACAAAATTATTTAATTGTTTTCTGTGCCTGGATTTGTTCAAATATTTACCAATATCATGGCATTGGTCAATTTTTCAAAAGCCTTATATTTGCTCAAATAAACATAAAAAATTTGTCATGCCCAAACATTCCCAACCTACCTAACTAAATCCAAACTGCTTTTGGATATTATTGGGCACAATTTGATCATTTATTATTGGCCATCGCGATTGCTCAAAAATCATAGGAATATTAAGTCCTATATTGTACATTTATTTGCAAAACTTTTATATATATGGCTCTCTGGGTAGCATTGGTAATCTTTTAATATTCATAGCGTTAGTGAAAGCACTTGTAAATCACTGTAAATTGTACAATTACAATGACATTGACAAAAAGGTTCTAGGTTAGCATTTATTTAATTAATTGTGTGTTACAAAAACTACTTAAATAACTTAGATAGGTACAGTGCATAAGCCTTTTGATTATGCACACCAACCACATTTCTTTCAACTGCTGTTACATACATTTTTGCATTATTTTAATGATCACTGGTAATTTTAAATGTGGTTGAATGCTTATGTAAATTTTTAAGTATCTCAGTTTTCATACTCTCCTACTATAATGCCTGTATAAAATGTTAATTTCACCCATAGAGAATTCTTTGTGGATGAAATTTTCATCATAACATGCATACTTTCTACATGTCAATACTGAAACGTATTCATTTTAATAAGGTTCGTCTCATGCACTTTACAGCTTTAGTGGAGCGATTTACTTTAAATTACTGCATTTTACTTTAAGCACTTCAGATCTCCCAGACGTGACCTCATAAACGCAGATATACGGCGTGTTTCGGAATTCGAAGTTAATCGGTTAGGAATTGTTTGGCCAGATGTCATTCAATGTCTTGGGAGATCTAAAAAACTTGCGCCTCCAAAATTACTGTGTCGACTTTATCCATAGAAGTACCTACGCTGGATGAAAGTCATGTCATGCAGTCTAGGCAAAAACTTCAGTTGGTTTTTTTGATAAGCAATTAATGGGAGCGGGTGCAAAATTATTGACTCCGCTATTGATAAAATGTTCACAGTATCCACTATTAATATTTATGGTGTTTATAAAATAATTTATGCGTGGCCATAACCTTTTTTAACCATATTATTTATAGTGCAGACTGCATTAATATTCAATTTTTATGTAGGTACCTTTGGTGCAAAAAATTAAGCACCGCATAAACTTATCATCATGAATCATAAATGAATATATATATATATATATATATATATATATATGCGTTGTGTGGTCGAATCTTAAAGCTAAGCTATTATACAGGGTGTCCAAAAAGGGTGTGAGCACTTTGTTTGTCCATTTAGACAAGTTCAATGTATTGTAGCGAGTACCGCTCTGGATCTCGGAATGATGACTCATCGCCGGTGAGTCAGCGCTCGAGCGGAATATTCGGGAAGGCGCTTGCGTGACTGGTGTCACGTAGGCACTGAATATATAAGGAACAGCGCAGCAGGAACATTCAGTCAAGCTTTGGACTGGCGACGAAATAAAATAAATATACGTGCAAATAAATAGACTCTTGTACAGTAGTGCTATAAGTAATTAAGTGTTTAGTTAGTTTCTTAGTGTTTTAAGTGTAATTAAGTTATAAAATAAATCGTTTCCCAGACAGCATCCAATTCAGAAAGATTTTTGTACGAAGTCTTTTGAAAAACATCTTACTGAGGTCACAATATGACATCTTAAAGAAATCATTTTTAGGAGCTTAAGATTAAGAGTTCTTGATGAATTCATAAATAAGAAGTAAATTTTTTAACATCTTAAAGTATCTTTTTTTCTGACCTCTTATTGGAATCAAAATTAGAAGCTACTAAGGGTAGGTATCATAAATAAGACTTTAGTTATATGATATCTTACAGTATTCTCTTTTCTTACTTCTTACTGAAATCATAGTATTAACTCTTTAAGACGTCAACATGGAGACGTCACATTTATGACATTTTAATGCGATTCTTTCTTCTCACCGCTGTAACTGCTTGTGTTTGATATAAGAAGCGGCGAAGTAGAATTTAGAGCGTGCTCTATACCAAACGGTCTTAGACCTGGGTAAACGACTACCCGATACTGACGAGCTCCAAAAGAGGGAAACTACACGGAAAGAAATTTGAAAAGTATTTATTACCATTCATATGACTGTTATTTTATCTAGAAGTTTTTAGGATAATTTTTCAGTATTGCAGTAATATTTGATTTCATAAATATAATTATTACAGTATGACAAACAATAATTGTTAAAGGATTATTATTGTAAATGTTCTCAAAATAAGAACAATTTATATCTTCCATATAGCATTATTTGTTATCTCAAGTGTGGTAAAATAATTCATTCGCATTCTTAGAAAAATAATTTGAATACTGAACTTCTTTCTTGTATTAAATTTAGAAAAACGTACTAATATTTAAAAGTTAGAAACATCCGAATTAACTTTCAGGTTTATTAGTATTCTTGTAAACCAAACAAGAATCCTATCGTTGAATACTACGATATCCTGGCAATTTTTGATTGAAATCGCGTTCAGAGCCTAATTTGCTCCGCCAATAAGAAAACTTCGCGCTT